ATGAAAACACCAGCAGCCAAAGCACGCAACCTAAATAGTATTGGCACACACCCAAATGCAACACGTGCAATTCGTCAGCCTCTATATTCTCCACTGAGAGATACTTTATCATTTTGAAAACGATGTGCATGTCATCTCCGTATTCGTGTCGCCACAGGTGCCTGTCGCGAATCAGTTTTTTCCAAGGTGCATCTGGTGCAAAATTGGTTGGCCAATAAGCTGGATTTGCTGTCGCTTTGGTACACTGGCAATAATCACAGAAATCGTCCGCTGCATGATTTCTCATCTTCAAATCCTTACCGTACCACACTATATCACCCTTTATACTCCAGACTACACCGAAGTATGGCTCCTCTGTCGAACAGATATGGGTCCCTTTCAAAATCACATCACTTCTAGCTGTTACATCGTTGTCTTCCCAATCCCTGCTCGGCCAGGAACCCTCAAACAACGCATTCAAGCTCCAACATATGCGTTTCCACATGACGTCTGTCGTATCCGTGATACCTGGAATGCCGTGCAATTTGTTCTGCTCGAAAATGCCAGTCATGAGAATCTTGACAGCCAGAGTGTTGCCACCTGCAAGGGCAGATTGCCACGACCAGCAATCGAAAGACTTTGTCCCGCTCTTCCCAACCGCTATCACGGGGACCGCGTCCCCGTGAATCATCAAAGGCACCGCCCGACGCATCCAATTTTCACGCTCGACCATTGGATGGTGGCGGATGCGCGGGTCGCGCCTAAGAACGACTTGCCTCCAGAACGCTTCTAAGATATCCCCGAAGTTACCTTCGCGCACGCCAAACATTTTAAAGTTGAATTCGCTCCTGTCGGTCCGAAACATGTGATTGAACGTTACGTGCGGCAGCAAGCATGGGATGTTTTCTTCTTGTATCGTTGGGAGCCGTTGCCTTGGTTTCAACACGAAAATGTGAGCCTTGATTGTCACGGGCGCCGCGTAGTCTGGAAACCCCAACCACCTTTTCAACTCGCTGTTAACATTGCCTTTGTATTTCCCATTGCTGCCAAGCCCAGCTAAAGATTTCAACGATGACGGTATGTGGTCAATCGATTGCCCAGCTCTCGTGAGCATTGTGACATCACTTCTATAAGCGGACAACGCAAACTCTTGCAATTTTGTAGCAGAAATGTACCCCCAAGCCCAACGTTTGCATAAATAGAACGCGAACTCACTATCGAACTGAGTCTGCTGATGTACCTGGTTCGGGCCATCCTCGACCTCGTGACGTCGTTGCCTTTGCCGCCTGCCACCTGCCATAAAAAAAGATGTGTTGCGCTGATGAGCCAAACACGGCTACTGATGGATGCGGTGGGGAGGAAAAGGACGGTCATTGGAAGAGGACGGCCATTAGGGAAGCAGGGAAGGGTTTTTCTTTCCCCGAACAGCAGCACCGAGCAAACACATTCAGGCCTTACGACGTGCTGCAGCCTCTGCCTTCTTAGCGGAGCTGCGTCCCTTCAATTTAGGGAGCCACGCCCTGCACGGGTGGTTGATATACTTAATCTGGTAGGGCCGACTTCGCACGCACGTGGTCCGTCGGCCCATTTTGTGGACGCACCGCGTGCACGCGAACGTCGGCCCTGATTTGGAAACCACCAGTCGGGCTTTGGGCGAGGCTGCTTCACAGCTGGAGGCGTGTCTGGGGCTTCAGAGAGGTCTACCTTCTCCTTGGGGCTACCAGGATTCTTGGGGTCCACCGTGCTGTCGTCGTCGCTGATAGTGATGACCTCGTCACGGAGCCGCTTCAGAACGGCTTGCCTGCCAGAAGATCGCACGCGCACGGCCTGCTTGCCAGAAGATCGAGCATCAGGAGTGCCGTCCATGGTCGGCAGGGATAGTGGCAAGGCGCTCCCCCGCGCCATGGCCTATGCCGAAAACGCTTGTGCCAGAAGGATGAGGTGGGGGATTGTGCTTGGAGGTTGTGTTGTGGGCTTGTGCTGGGGGTTGTGCTGGGGGATTGTGCTGTGGGAGTTTGGGGGGCGTTGTGCTGGGGGTTGTGCCAGTAGGTCGTGCTTGGGGGGGAGGGGCGTCAAAGGCTGTCTTGGGGCAGCTTGAACACTGGAATTTTAGAATCTCTCCAATTGAGCACATATGTGTGGGGGGGGGGCCCGACTTTCTGTGTTAGGTCTTCCAGGGTGTCCCGTTGGTTCCTTGTTCGATTCTTCTTTTTCTATTTATTGCATGGTGAACCAGGCGCACAACGCGAGTTATACTTTCCATACGAGCACGACGACGAAGAGGGGGAAGCGACACGTGCGGCCAGCCACAAAAAAGAACCCCAGAGGGAACAACATAAGATATTTTGTTTTGGGAGGCTGGCCGCGGATGTTGGTTCCCCCCGTCCCCCCGTGGCCGTCGTCGCCGTCGCCGTGGTCGTCGTTCAACTAATGTTGCCAGGTTGTCTATATGTCTCCCTGGAGGGGCGCTTGGCTTCCCTGCCCGTAACTCTTTCTGGAGGCTGTAGGCTGCGGGCGCCCCGCTGGCACGCGTACAATGGCGCTCTCTCGTATCTCCCATCCGTCTGGGCCATCCCTGCTGCTGACCTCAGCGCGTCGCTTCATGTGTTCTCTGCTCCTCCCTACCCCAAGTCTAAGGTAATCCTTTTCCTCCTCTACCTCCTCCTCCTCCTCCTCCTCCTCCTCCTCCTCCTCCTCATCCTCCTCCTCCTCCTCATCCTCTTCCTCCTCCTCCTCCTCCTCCTCCTCTTCCTCCTCCTCCTCCTCCTCCTCCTCCATCCTCTTCTTTTTCCTCCTCGGCTCGGCGTGCAGATGAAGGTCCAGGGATGACGCTCAAGAGCGACGGATTGGGGCCCTGACGACCTGCGACCTTTTTCCCCCCGAGACACATGATGGAGGAGGAGTGGGAGGAGGAGCAGCATCAGCAGAATAAGCAGGAGGAGCAGGGGAATCAGCATGAGCAGGAGAAGCTGCATGAGCAGGATGAATAGTGGAGGAAGAAGCTGGAGGTGGAATTATTTTGTTCGCGGCAGCCTGCTAGCGATTCACGCATTCGCAATCAGCGTCGCACGCTGATCAAAGTTGGCTACAAGAAAGCACAAACGTGCTCCAAAGGTTTGCTCGCAAGGCCAACTTCGCAGAAATGGTTGGGCCCGACCTGTGTGTAGTATCTCTGTTCATGTGATCGCACGGCGCATCATCCATGACATATGTTGGAGGATCACTGTAACGCTCAGTGGCGATTCATTGGAGATTCGTTGGAGATTTTGAAAATCTCCAACGAATCTCCAGTGCTCACTGGAGATTCATTGGAGATTCGTTGGAGATTTTCGAAATCTCCAATGAATCTCCAACGTGCGTTGGAGATTCGTTGGAGATTTTCAAAATCTCCAATGAATCTCCAGCGAATCTCCAACGCCTGTCCACGCGTAGCTATCGCATTGAGTAAAATCATGAATGCGATTATTGCACAGATCGAGCAATGCGAATCCAAACCTGACTCGCTGCCACCAGAAAAGAGACTCGGGCACTCCAAAAAATATGATGCGAATCGTCGTGCTGAGCTCTAGGCGAGCGTGGAGCGATCGTCGCACTGATGGCGCGAATCATTGTTACGAATGGCCTTGCGCTCTGCCCTATGCTGACTTGCTCTTGATGGCCTTGGTCCTGTGCTTCTGGATCGCCACCAGCTCGCTGTAGAAGTCGAGCAAGTTCTTGTAGGGCTCGTGGGAGGCCTTCAGCGCACGCTTCGCCTCCTCTGCGGAGACCTCCTTGTTCGTCTTCAGGATGAGATCCTCAACCGCCTCCTGCGAGGGGACGACGGCCTTGCAGAGGTCGATGCCCTTGCGAACGAGGTCCCCGCTCGAGAAGCCAGCTGCCGTCATCTGGCTCGCAACGCGCTTGATCCCCATGGTGACTCGCGTCACGCTGTCGAAGCACTCCTTGGGGAGGAGATGGAGGTGAGGAGGAGGGGGAGGAGGAGGCAGAGGAGGAGGGGGAGGAGGAGAAGGACGAGAGGGGGTGAGTAGGAGGAGGAGAGGGCGGGAGGAGGATGAGGAGAGGGGGGGAGTAGGAGGAGGAGGGGGAGAGGGGGGGAGGAGGAGGAGTGGCCAGTAGGAACACGTGGCCTGGAGCATCTTCATGTCGTCCTGGGAAGCGTGGGGGGCCGCGTCGATGCGCTTCTGCTCGGCCTTGGTGACGTCCTTGATCGCAGTGCGGAACCACTTCTCGGAGCCGACGTCGCCGACCTCGCTCATCATCTCGAGCACCGCGGCGTTGAAGGACTTCTCCGAGGCTGCGTCCAGCGTGATCCGCGCCTCGGTCGTCCTCTCGCGCCTCTGACTGCGCTTCACGGAGTGACCCGTCATGTACCACCTGCCATTGTCACTGTTGAACTCGCACTCTCCAGCGTCCCTGGCTTGCTCGAAAAGCTGCCTGTTCCCGTTGAAGATCACCCCGATGAACGTGTTCTCGAAGTAGCCCTGGGCCGTCTGGGTGTCCTCGTCCTCCTTCGTCTGCTTCAGCACCTGGACGCTCCTCCTCCTCCTCGTCGCGTCGTAACCTTCGTCGTCGTAACGTGATGCGGTGAGACACTCCGTTTGCGGACATTCTAGGGTCCCCCTCATGGGTGAGACGGCGAGAACTTCCGTCGACGGATTTCCCAGGGCCCTTTGACATAAGTCGAGACGGGGTCTCGGTCAATCCTCCGCCTCCTACTCCCTGCTCCTCCACTCCTCCTCCTCCTCCTCCTCCTATCGCTATCGCTATCGCTATCGGCTCGATGTCCAGTCGGACGCAGCCGTCCGCGCGGCCGGAGCTACGCGCGCGCGCCCTAGGCGCGTGGGGGGCAAAGTTGAACCCTATGCCGGAGGCCAAGACAGCCCGCTGCACTTAAGGGGCCCTTAAGTGCAGCGGATCTGCTCCTCCTTCGGAGGGGCTCCTCCTGCTCCTCCCTGCTCCTCCTCCTCCTCCTCCTCCTCCTCCTCTTCCTCCTCCTCCCCATTCCCCCTCCCATCCCGCACCTTCTGGATGCTGCGGTCCTTGACTGTCAGACCAGCTTTCCAATCGCTCGAACGAGAGACGTAGCTGTTGATGATGCTGTTGATCTCCTTGGACTTGCCTGGGATCTTGCACTCCTTGCTGTTCAGGTGGTCGAAGCGCGCCAAGGTTTTCTCGTCGATGCTGTGGCGATTGAGGAGGAACACGTGCCGTTGGGCACGGCTGACCTGGCGGGCGTCCAACTGGCCGTCGGGTAGATCCGTCGCTTGCTCCCCTTCGTGCACGGAAGGCGCGTGGGTAGCTGCGGCGGGCTTCTTAAGGAGAGGAAGGCGATCCGTTTGCTCGTCCTCTATGGCTTGCGCCCACGCGGCAGGCCTCTTCATGGTGGACTTCGGCGCCATAGCGCCGTTCACTGCACGCAACGAGACCGCGAGCGAAAGTTGCAGCTACAGTGAGCCGCAGCTCAAACACGATCGCCAGGGCCGAACGTGGCTGCGGGAAAAAAAGGCTGTGACGATTAGTTCTGGGCGCATGGGGCCGAAGGAGGTGGTCTCCCGAGAGTGGTAGCAGAAGTATATGTAGACGTAGACGGTAGGAGTAGAAGCAGAAAGAAGTAGAAGTAAACGCAGAATCAGAATGAGAAGGACAATGAGAAGTAGACGTAGTCGTGCAAGTAGTATTAGGAGAAGTGTGAGTAGGAGGATGAGGAGGAGGAGGAGGAGTACGTGGGGAAGGACTGCGATGTGGGAGGGAACATGACCAGGAGGATGAATTCGGTGGGCGAGGAGGAGGGCGAGGACGGAGGAGGAGGGGCAGGAGGAGGTGCGGAGGAGGAGGGGGAAGAGCGGGAGGATGCATCCTACTCTGAAGGGTTTACCTTCCTCCGAGGGGGGTGGTTTCTTGTTCCTGCTGCTTCTCTGAAGGGGACCTGATCCCTGATGCCCTTTTTTCTCACCATCTTCCTCTTCCCCTCTCTCCTCCTCCTCCCTCCCTCTTGTCCTCCACCTCGCCCTCCCTCTCCTCGTCGTCCTCGTCCTTCTCCTCGTCCTCATCCTCGTCCTCCTCCTCGTCCTCGTCGTCGTCGTCCTCCTCCTCCTCCCTCGCACTCATTCGGCTCAATGCACGGCTGGAGCAGACGCAGATGATTCTTCTCAGCGGCAACCCCATGCCCTGTGGATCGTGATAGCCACATCGGTCCCAGTTCAAGCGCTTCGACAGCGCATCTGACTCACACGTGAGTCAAACGTACTAGCTGACGACCTCACTGCGACTGCAGAGAGGCCTTCAGATCCAAGCACTGCGATTTTGACCAATGATTGTCATTGATTTTTTTCGCGAGTGCTTTCATGTCGGATTCTGCTCTCGGGCCATACAGGTGTGTTGGTTTCGCCGGTGCCAAGAGTGAATTCAGCGTGGATTTGCGTCTTCGTTTTTCATTTTTATTTTCCTTTTTTCTGATATGCGCACGTCAATCGATCATGTGGCTCGGGCGTTCGTGTGAATGCCGCGTGGCCAGCGAATTTCGAATGTCTTCCGTGCCCTTGATTCTTCCTCATCGTATTCATTTATCTTATTCCTCTTGCCTGCATTGTTTTTCTCTTCATTTCCCTCCCGCTGTCATCTTCTTTTGTCAGGGCCTGCGGCAGGATCCAACAGGGCGCCGGGAAAGCTGCAAGTGAGCTCGAGGAGAGTCCAGCAGGTCCCGAGAAGGATTGCAAGCAGGCCCTAGGGTCCCAAGACAGGCTTTGTAGGGGTCCAAAACAACTTGCAGACCTGTCTCCTCGCATATGTTATGACGCGTTTCGGCCGTGGTCCGCGGGATTCTACTGTTCATCCGCCTTGCACGACCACACCCCAGCACGACCCCACCCCAGCAAGACCACACCCCAGCACGACCACACCCCAGCACGACCTCACCACAGCACGACCACACCCCAGCACGACCACGCCCCAGCACGACCACGCCCCAGCACGACCACGCCCCAGCACGACCACCCCCCAGCACGACCACCCCCCTAGCACGACCACCCCCCAGCACGACCACCCCCCAGCACGACCACACCCCAGCACGACCACACCCCAACACGACCATACTTCAGCACGACCACACCCCAGCACGACCACACCCAGTCGCACCCCCGTGGAATGTTTCGTGGGGTGTCTGGTTGAGTGGTTGCCTGTTCGTGGGGTGTCTCGTGGAATGTTTCACGGGGTGTCTCGTGGAATGTTTCGTGCGGTGTCTCGTGGGTTGTTTCGTGAGGTGTCTCCTGGGATGTTTCGCGGGGTGTCTCGTGGGATGTTTCGTGAGGTGTCGCCCAGTTGGATATCGTGAAAACGTGACCATGCTGCACATGTCTATATCCCTTTCCGGGTTCGTGGGTCCATCATGTTTTTTCCCGGAAAGGGCGGGGGCCCAGGGTTCTCTTTTAGTAGGTAAACCTGTCCCCCGGTGCCAACTTGAGGGAGGCCGGCGAATTTTCCCGGAAAGGGCCTGGGCCCAGGGTTCTCTTTTAGTGGGTAAACCTGTCCCCCGGTGCCAACTTGAAGGAGGCCGGCGAATTTTTTCCCTGATAAATATCGAGGTCGAAGGAGGCCGGCGAATTATAATTTGAGGAGTTTGAGGAGGCTCGAGCGAAACGCTTTGTTTTTTGAAATCCGAATCGAATTAAATCACAGGGTCCGGGCCACCCTTTTTTCGTGCCCTGGATGTCTCGAGCGAAACGCTTGCTCCGCAGAGTTTGCCGAGGATGTCTCGAGCGAAACGCTTGTTTTGCAGAGCCGACCGCGACGCGGAAAAGCGCCCCGCGCGAAGGAATTTCGATGATGTTTCGACTAATTTGTTTGTTTTTGTACGATTTCCTGGAATTTTGGCAGGATGTCTCGAGCGAAATGCACGACCCACCCTAGCACGACCATACCCCAGCACGACCACACCCCAGCACGACCAGACCCCAGCACGACCCCACCCCAGCACGACCCCACCCCAGCACGACCATACCCCAGCACGACCACACCCCAGCACGACCCGACCCCAGCACGACCCTACCCCAGCAAGACACACCCCAGCACGACCACACCCCAGCACGACCACACCACAGCACGACCACACCCCAGCACGACCACGCCCCAGCACGACCACGCCCCAGCACGACCACGCCTCAGCACGGACCACCCCCCAGCACGCACCCCCCAGCCACGGACACCCCCAGCACGACCACACCCCAGCACGACCACACCCCAGCACGACCACTCCCCAGCACGACCACACCCAGCACGGACACCCCCCAGCACGACCACACCCAGTCGCACCACCGTGGACATTGTTTCGTGGCGTTGTCTGGTTGAGTGGTTGCCTGTCGTCGTGGAATGTTTCGTGGGGTGTCTCGTGGAATGTTTCGCGGGGTGTCTCGTGAAATGTTTCGTGAGGTGTATCGTGGAATGTTTCGTGAGGTGTCTCGTGGGATGTTTCGCAGGGTTGGCACGACACGCACCTACACGACCACCCCCCCAGACGACCAACACCCAGACGGACCCACCCCCCCAGCACGACCACCCCCCAGCCGACCACACCCCAGCACGACCACACCCCAGCACGACCACTCCCCAGCACGAACACACCCCAGCACGACCACACCCCAGCACGACCACACCCAGTCGCACCCCCGTGGAATGTTTCGTGGCGTGTCTGGTTGAGTGGTTGCCTGTTCGTGGGGTGTCTCGTGGAATGTTTCAAAGGGTGTCTCGTGGAATGTTTCGTGAGGTGTCTCGTGGAATGTTTCGTGAGGTGTCTCGTGGGATGTTTCGCGGGGTGTCTCGTGGGATGTTTCGTGAGATGTCGCCCAGTTGGGTATCGTGAAAACTGGACCATGCTGCCACATGTTTTATCCCTTTCCGGGTTCGTGGGTCCATATGTTCCCTGATAAATTATCGAGGTCGAAGGAGGGGACCGGCGGATAAAATTTGGAGGATGTCTCGAGCGAAACGGCCTTGCTTGTCAGAATTTGTGAGGATGTCTCGAGCGAACGCCGGGTTTTGCAGAGTTGGGGAATGTCTCGAGGAAACGCTTGGTTTCAGGAATTGTTGAGGGGATGTCTCGAGCGAAACGCTTGTTTTGCAGAGCCGACCGCGACGCGGAAAAGCGCCCCGCGCGAAGGAATTTCGATGATGTCTCGACTAATTCCTTTGTTTTTGTACGATGTCCTGGAATTTTGGCAGGATGTCTCGAGCGAAATGCACGACCCCACCCTAGCACGACCATACCCCAGCACGACCACACCCCAGCACGACCAGACCCCAGCACGACCCCACCCCAGCACGACCCCACCCCAGCACGACCATACCCAGCACGACCACACCCCAGCACGACCCGACCCCAGCACGACCCTACCCCAGCAAGACCACACCCCAGCACGACCACACCCCAGCACGACCTCACCACAGCACGACCACACCCCAGCACGACCACGCCCCAGCACGACCACGCCACAGCACGACCACGCCCCAGCACAACCACCCCCCAGCACGACCACCCCCCCGGCACGACCAACCCCCCAGCAGACCACCCCCCAGCACGACACACCCCAGCACGACCACCCCCCAGCACGACCACCTCCCAGCACGACCACACCCCAGCACGACCACTCCCCAGCACGACCACACCGCCTTGGTTGAGTGGTTGCCTGTCGTCGTGGAATGTTTCGTGGGGTGTCTCGTGGAATGTTTCGCGGGGTGTCTCGTGGAATGTTTCGTGAGGTGTCTCGTGGAATGTTTTGTGAGGTGTCTCGTGGGATGTTTAGCGCGGGTTGTCTCGTGGGATGTTTTCGTGTGGATGTCGCCCAGTTGGGTTATCGTGAAACGCTGACCATGCTTTGCACAGTCTTTATACCTTTCCGGGTTCGTGGGTCCATCATGTTGCCTTCATTTCCGACGCCTCGCGTACTTCCGCCAGCCAAGGCAAAAGCAATCACCAGGCGAGTTGCTTCGATCAGCATGTGTAGCAGCATGCGGCGCCGCAGCGAACCGAATGTGTTTTCATTGGTTCTGTGCGGGGGGAGGAAGAGGAGGTGGAGGAAGCGAAGGGACAAATATGGTGGCGAAGGACCAGTCGTAACGAAAGAAGAGGGACAGCAAAAGGATGGACGCGTGCTGGAGGAAACAGCAACATGCTAGAGCATGAGAAGGTCGGAAGGATGATGAGGGACCTGAGGGGGGGAGGAGGGTTACGAGG